TTCCTGCTCAGCGGGAAGCCTGCTTCTCCCTCTCCCACTCCCCCTGCTTGTGTTCCCTCTCTCACTGTGTCTCTCTCTGTCAGATAATTAAATAAAAAATCTTTAATAAAAAAAAAAAGATTTAAAAATACGTTTTTTTTTCCTGGTTTTGAGTTATTTTTTTTTTTCTGGTTTGAGTTATTAATACAGTCATCAGTAATTCACAAAGCCAAATAAATACACTATAGCTTCTGATAGTTATTAAACATAGAAAGGAGACTCTGGGGGACAAATTGCCTCCTTGTTTGGCACCTGGGGATTTTTCCACACTTGGCAATGCCAGGACCGGGAGAGGTAGGAAAGGGGATGACATATAAACCCCACCGACTGCAAGTCCACACTGTCACAGCTGCGGATTTGGAGGGGGGCTTTCTTTGAATAAACCATGACCAAATACCCGTATAAAGCCTTTGTGTAGCCCCAGCTTGAAGACTGCTGTACTAGCCTGGGCTGCTGAAAGCTTTTCAGTCCACTTCCAACAGGAAGTAACTGTGTTGCACATCATGGCGTCCCTGCCTCACTCCATGCTTGGGCCCTACACGGTAACAACACCCTTTCTGCTAGAACACTGCTCTCCGTGTGCGACCAGAGCCTGTGACCTTACTCAGAAAAACCTTCAGGCATTAATGCCCAGGACACGCACTTGAACACTAGAAGCAAAGACTTATTAAAAACGAGTGGGTCTTTCTTGGGGGCGCATGGGTGGCTCAGTTGGTTAAGCGACCAACTCTTGATTTCGGCTAAGGTCATGATCTTGGGTTCTGAGATCAAGCTCTGCTTTGGGCTCCGTGCTCAGCACGGAGTCTGCTTGAGATTCTCGATTCTCTCCCTCTCCCTACCCGCCCTGCCCCCACTTGCACAAGTGTATGCTCTCTCTCAAATAAATGAGTAAAATCTTTAAAAAAATTTTTTTTCTAAATGAGAGGGTCTTTCTAAAAGGATCCCCCCCACCCTGGGGGACTGGGTTTCCCTATTTTTCTAGGGGAGGGGCTTTTCCCTATTGGGACAATTTCCCTTACAAGTTGTGCCGTCCTGTGTTCTGCCAACTTTCCTGTTTGGCCGATGCAGGAAATCCCCCAGATCACATTCTTTTCCAGACCATGAAAGACAAGAAAAGATTCCCTTCTGACCTTGTATTCACCCCAGTGTTATCCTGAGTTTTTAATTTTGGGTGGGTGGGGGGAGCAAGGTGAGTGGTGACAGATTGGGCTGAGTCAAGAGCCTGGAATCTGTCATCATCTTCAGCAAAACTTCCTTTCTTCAGTCCCCCGACCTGCAAAGCACACTTTTGACCTTCTACTGAACTAAATTAAGAATGGCTGTGATGGACTTTGAAGGCATTATGCTAAGTGAAATAAGTCAGGTAGAGAAAGACAAATACTGTATGACTTCATTTATATGTGGAATCTAAACAAAAAACAAAACAAAACCCAAACTTACAGGAAAAGAGATCAGACTTGTGGTTCCCAGGGACGATATAAACTTCCAGTTACATGATAAATCAGAACTAGGACCCTAATGTACAACATGATGGCTACAGCTAACACTGCTGTCTGGTACATAGGAAACTTGTGAAGAGAGTAGGTCCCAAGTGTTCTCATCACAAGACATTTTTTCCTTTTTTTCTTTTCTTGGTATTGGATCTGTATGAGAAGATGGGGGTCAGCTGAGCCTATTATAGTAACTGTTTCACCATATACGTAAATCAAACCATCTTGCTATCTGCCTTAAACTTAGACAGTGGTGTATGTCGATTACTTTTCAATAAAACTGGGGGAAAAAGAGAATGGCCACAAACATTACGTGGTTTTGAAGCTTTAGATTCCATCCTTGGAGCACAATGGCCCTGTGTTCTTCCCCGGTGGATCCGTGGTGCCAGAACCGTAGCGGGTTCTCAGTGGGTTTCGGTGTCATGGACCTCCACACATCAAAGTTTGCTGTTTGCAAAATGACAAGTCTGTCTAGGTATGTAAATCGATTCCGACTTTCATTTCTTTGCAGTGAAATGCAAAATGGAGGATGATGAGGAGGTTGCACCTACGACCACCACCTTAACCACTGGTGGGATCTTTTCCCTTCGGAGCTTCGATAACCCTACGTGAGGAAAATGTACAAATTATGCTTCCTCTTTGTTGATTTTTTAACGACTAGATTTGGTACATGTGAATACAGAATCTTTTCTGCACAAGATAGGATTTGTTGCAAACCTGCTTTAGTGCATATAGTTTATCCTACGAGAGTACGAATCTAAACTTTCTGCATTATCTCCAAATTTTATTTTTTATCCATTATTATTTCTTCAGTGCTTCAGGTATATTCTTCTACACCAACCGCCGTTAAAATGTACAAGCTCTAGTTCCAAAAGACGTTGAAGTGCTTTAGTTACCAGTTTCCCACTTTGGCTGCTTAAATTTAAGTCCCAAACCTCTGCCGTGGGTTTTAAGTTTATCTGGTGAGTATTCTTTTCATAAAAAAAGATGTATTGCCTACGACCATTTCCAAAGGAGACGGACTCTAAACTCTGACTGCAAACCCAACAAGTTGAGACACTTAAACCCAGACAAAGGACTTTGGTTGTCAAGTCCCCAAAGTACTATAGAAAGTTCCTCATTTGCTGGGTAAGCTAACTTATTACCCTCATTTGTTCTGCAGTTTGCTGTTAACCAGGATTCCCCCATTCAAAATGCCACAGACTTAGCCTCCAGGCAAATCCAAAAGCCTCATAGTTATTCTGGGTGGTTTTGACAAGCTACCACACATCTTAAGTAAATAGTAAAGCCTTTATTTTTGTGTTAAGAACAGCATTTTGAAAATAAAACCTATCTGCCCATGCTTTACAACCTTTAAATTTGTAATATTTATATACAGTCATTTATGGTACACATTGATTGTCTTGAAATTTCTTTAACGATTTTTTTTTAATAAGTATGCAACAGTCAGCCAGGGGAGGATAAAGGTACATTATAAAACACACATTAATACATTTAATAAATATATATTATCTATCAAAAACGAGCTTTAGCTCTTTATCAATTAATAAAAAGCACCTGCTGAGAACTCTTGTAAGCTGGTATAATCATTGCATCATTGGATTATAAAAGCCACAACGCTCCCTTTCAGTTTGGGGTTCAGCTCAGCACTGGCTGGCCTGGAAGACCACTCCAAGTTTACCCTTGTTCGGTGGGCCCTGATGGAATCTGTGCTAAAAGGACGGGATCCCCAGATTTTCCCAGTTTGCCAATTCTCTGAGCTGATTCCCTCACTCCCCACCCTCCATATCCAGTGGAGAAATCCAGGATAGAATGACCATTTTCTATTAAAAGGGGGGACAAGCGTGGCTGTTATAGTCCCAGAGTGATTTTAATAACCAGACACAGAAAGTATTGTGCTTACAATTAGGTATTTTGATCACAGATGCTCTCCTTCAGGTCATTTTCCCTCAACAAGTGTTGTTTACATAAACAGAGGTGCCATTTGATTTTGTATTTAAAGTTTGCTCCGTGGGGGCAACTGGCGGCCACAGTCTCTTGGCAAAGAGGTCTCTTTGTACCCTTCAGGTGGAGTCATTAGAAAAATACCAGTTCTCTGCTCTCTGCCCTCACTCCCAACCTCTGCCCCATTGGGAGGGCATCCAGCCCACTCTCAACCTTAAAGCCAAAATAAAACAAAACCCAGAAGTGCAATAACGTATCAGAGATTTACAAAGGGAGGAGAAAAGGCCTCATTAAGTGAGGTTTCCCATGGCTCAAAGCTGGTTCCGTTTTTATGTTGGTGAAACGTTACTTTCCCCTTGTAGCCATTTATGCTGTGCTCACCTTATATGCCTGGACCACCAAGAACTGAGAGAGAAAACGATCAGGTGAATTGCTCCCTTCTGCAAGGGGGGGGGGGACTCTTGCAGACGGAATCACTGATGGGATCAGAGAGCTCCAAAGGACTCCAGAGAGCGGGGGTAAGCAACCATTTCCTGGCACGAGAATGTGTATTGCTGTCGTTTTTCATCGGACTAGACCGAGGTGTTTGTGGAGATTTCTGTATTTTCACAATCCTGGGTCTGCATGCAACCACCACCCCCATCCTCACCCTGGGTCCTAGCTTCTTTCCCTCTCTCTCCTCCCCAACACTCTCGGTTTCCGGTCCACCAATGACGCTCCTTGACAGAGGATTGGAATCTGATTCTCTAGAAGCAAGCACATGCTCTGGGCAGGGGTGGGGCTGTTTCCCAAAGGTCAGGTAGGGGTGGCATTCTGGTGCCATGCTTTTTCCTCCTCATGCGTGGCAACACAAGGAAATGCACTAGCTGGAAGGAAAACTTGGAGGAGGGCCACAAAGGGATGGCCAAATTGGCTTGTTTACCCCATTGCTCTGCAAGGTTGCAGGGGGGAGGGGGACTGTGGCGAGGACGGGACACAGCAGAGACTAGGGCCTTGAGAAAAATCAGAAGGTTTATTAAAACAGCTCAGACATATTGGCTTATGAAGAGGTCAGTTTCCCCCCCCAACACCAACCTTTTTCATTTTCTTTAAAGGTTAAAGGCTTATGGGTTGTTTTATAGAAAAAGCAATATAGTCATTAGAGTATATGCCAAAGGACTCACCCTCATTTACACATTTCATGCCGTCAAGTTAAAACTCTTTGCATCACTGCTAGTGATTATGCTGGCCAAACAGTGCAGAGAACATGGGGCTTTGAATGGCCGAGATGTTCGAAATGCCAAATAACAAAGGAATGACTTGCTTAGGACAGATGGAAACCATGACAGAAACAATGGGCTTTGAAGAGAACCATTTTCATGGAACTTACAGAAGACCAAGTCAAACATGTCCCACATACCCTCCAAAAGCAGCAAGAACCCCTGGAGCGCTCTACCCGTCCCTGGAACTTGCACTCCGTCAGCGTCCCACACCCGAGAACTCACTGCATGCTAGGCAGCAGAGTGTGCTCTCCCCCTGGATGCCCTGCCACGTGACATCATCGTGGAGAATCGCTGTGGCATCTGCCTTCTGGCCTGCCAACCCGGGGGGGCTGTCAGCTGATGGCCCATCTGAGCTTTGGAAATGAACATGGGAATAAAACTGGGAGAGGGCTCGGGGGGAGCACAGCAAGAGCAGGACGAGGGAGAGCTCATCAAGGGAAAGAGGCTGCTGCCCCAAGCGGGAATATTACTCTGGCTCCCCCAAGGAGGGAGGCGGGCCTGCTTTTCTGCCGTAGACCTGCAGCAGGAGGCCCACAGAGGGAACAGTGGTGAGTCACCACTTTCTAAATGTGACGGTCACTTCACCTCCCAGAGAGCCTTCTCTTCATTGGCACATGCCAGGGTCCCTCCCCCAACCACTGGCTGTAAAGCTCATCCCGTGATGCGGCCGAGCCTCACCTTGGAATCACACCCACCACTCCTTAACTGCTCCTGACCCCCCTGAAATGTGCAAACCAACAGGCAAGCTGGTGGAAAAGTCCCCATTAGTCCTCCCAATGAAATAGTCATCTCCAAAAGGCCACCTGGGGTCCAGCACATGCTGGGGAGGGGCGATGGTGTGGGGACCCCCACAATCAACCAACACCAGCCAGGCCCACCGGCTGTGAATTTGGTTCTGTTCTACCCCCAGAGGATGAAACAGTCTTCCCAGCCACATTTTCGAGTGAGCCTAATACTATTTGCAATTAGCTTTGCTTTAGTTTGCAGGGATTGAGGTTGGTTTGGTATTACGTGTGTGCATGTGTGTGTGTGTGTGTGTGTGTGTCATTGGCAGGGGACGGGAGGGCAGTCGGTGTTAGCTTTTCAGTTCAGCAGTGTTCACATTTACACGAAATCCCCTTGTGTAGGATTTCTAGATCTCCTGGCTGTGAGGCAGCCTTGTTCGGCTACTGTTACTGATTTCTCCCTCAAGAAAGACACAGCCAGGGAATAAAATCGGTAAGAGAGATTCTTATTCTCTGGAACTTAAAGTCTTTCACCAGAGGTGTCTTCCAGTGTAACTTGGCGGAGCAGTTGGGATCTGGAAACAAGGATAACACACTAAGAACTTTGTGCTTTGCAAAGTCAACATCAGAAACCAATTCGTTAACAATGTGCCAGAGATAAATTATCTTGGTTTTTCCTAAGGGGCTGAATAATTCCCAAGAAAAGCGGCAACCACTGTGTGTGACACTGCTCTGTTCTTGGGAAGGCCGGGTCCCCTTTTCTGTAATCATGCACCCCAAATGAATGTCTCCTCACTCAGAAACCCACTTTGCTTTTTTCTAAGTCCAGGGTGTTTTTATACCCACTGGCCTTGAAGAGACCAGGAGGGCTTCAGAGTGACTGATGGGGCCATTTTCTAACATTATTTATTATAACCACAGGCCGAATGCTTTCGAGTCAGGCTTTTTCTTGGCACCGGACAATAAAACAGCCCAAGGGATGGCAGGGGGTTTTCAGAAAGCAAATCTGCGAGTCTATTTGTCTTTGAGCCTGTTCCAAACCAGTGCAAACCAATGCCTCGCATACCATTCAAAAGACCAGGAAAACCCAAATTCCCTCCAGAGATCAAAGACCATCTCCGACTTACATTAAAAAAAAGGAAAAGAAAAGAAAAAAAGCTCAGGTTGAGTTATGGAACTGGCACATGATATAGGAATGGAAGTCCAATTTACACGTGTAAACTGGCTTTATGCATTGTTTCTGAAAGAAGCATGTAGCTATGTTTGGAAATTAAATGTGGGAATGACAGTGTGTCTTTGGATTGCTGGAGAAACAAAATGATGTAATTGCACGGAGGCAAAATGTAAACAATGACAATTCTGCTGAAGGTCTGTTTGGCATCAGATAGTAAAACCTGTTTTTGTGGTCGCAGGAGAGAAATGATAATCACTCCAATTTCTTAAGACATCTTTTAGGGAGTGGAGGTGGGGGAACCTGGCACCCAGCTGGGTCACAGAGACGGGGTGGGGGGGCCAGGGGGGGTACGCTAGGTTGGGTGTTCGCAAAATCTGCGGGGGTTTCACAACTCTGGGCTTTTCTTAAAAGTCACCTCCCAGAAAGGGGGGGTAGGCACCTTCTGCAATAATGAAAGCCAGAACTCACTGGGTACAAGAGCCCCAAGAAATAGGGACTCTTTCGAACGAATCCACAGATGGTTCACTAAGTATAGGTGGATCTTCCGTGTGTGGAGAAAGGGGGTAGAGAGGCAAAGAGAAATGGAAGCACTGCATGCATTCTAGCTGCAAGGGGTGTCCACTTGAGCCAGTGTATGTGCGGGGCCCGTAAGCAGCCTCCACAGAGCAGGATGCCCCCAGTGAAGCTGCCCCCAACACTGACCGCTCTTGGGCTTCCGGCCAAAACATCACCTCTTGATACTTACAGTCCCTCCATTGAGCACAACGGCCATCTCAGTGGGCTGATAGACATTGCTTCTAAACGGAGCGCTCGGTCTGTTTCCCAAGCTGCCATTGCGAAATCCCGCTGTTCGGAGAGCTGAGGGAGGTAGGAAGCAGCAACACAACACCAAAACAAAAAACAAAAAACAAACCCGAGATTTTGTTTTCTTCCCCTGCATCAACACCATGCTCCCGGCACACATTACCCCCTCACCCCCCCACCCCTCCCCATTGTCACAAGCCAGATTCAAAACAAAAGTCACAATGGGGCTTTGTTCTCTGGCTCTCTTGGAGCATGACCCATCTCAGTGGGGTTGGGAAGTTTGTAGAATCCAGGGCGCTTGCTGCCGGGGTGGGGGCAGGGTAGAGCCTCTACCCTGCCCCCCAGCCCCTGCAGGCCCTGGGAGGCCAGGAAGCACCTCTGCATCCCTCAAAGGTCTCCCCTCTCACCACATTCATGCCAAGTTCAACATTACACCGTTCAACACCCGTCACTGTTTCTGGATACAAAGAGGCAGACAACCCTAAGAATGTGGACATCAAGTACATGATAGAGGCCATCCTCATGGGAAAGTGACGGGGAAGAGAACACAGGGACTCCAACCCCGCGGGGCAGGGTGTTTCTAAACAGGAAAAAAGGGACAGCTGTAGCAAAGACGGCAAAATACGTCAGCACTTTTTAACCTAAGAGAGGTGGGTAAATGGCGTTTCCTATTTGCTGGGTCCTTTGAGAGATCTAAATTTCCTTTTTTTGCAGAGAAAACCCGAATTCCACAAGACATGGAGGAGACAAATGCATATTGCTAAGTGCAAGAAGCCAGTCTGTAAGAGCTATATACCGTGTGACTCCAACTATGATATTCTGCGAGAGGCAAAAGGACAGAGAAAGTAAAGACTCAAGACTGTGGGGGAGAGAGGGCGGTGAGGAACAGGTGGAGAGCACAGTGCGTTTTTACGGCAGTGAAACTATTCTTTATGATACTATAATGATACATAGATGACATTACCCATCCATCCAAACTGCACAAACGGAAGAGTGCGCCTTAAAATGTAAATGGTGGACTTTAGTTAATAATAATGTATCAATATTGATTCACCAACTATAACAAATGTACCACTAATGCAAGCTGTTAATAATAGGGGCATGTGGGAACTCCCTTAATTCCTGCTCAATTTTTTCGGTGAAACTAAAATTGCTCTAAAAAATAGTCTATTAAAAGCCAATACGAATGTAGGAGCACTATGAAAACAAAAGTCCATCTCAGTTGTAACACAGACTCTATTATTTTCATTCTCGTTGAAGGCACTAATCTTGCTTTGCTGAGAAAAGCCTCACTTAAACTCTTCTCTGAAGAGGGGCACTTGGGTGGCTCAGTCGGTTAAGCCTCCAACTCCTGATTTCAGCTCAAGTCATGACCGATCACAGGGTCGTGGGATTGAGCTCCCCCCTGGAGCCCCGCATCGCATCGGGGGGGCTCCACACTCAGCAAGGAGTCTGCTTTATAGCATAATAGGTACTTTCCTTTTTTCCACTTTACACGGGGCACAGAGAGATTAAGTCACTAGCCCAAGGTCACACAGCTGGAAAGAGGCAGAACCAGCATTCAAAACCCAGGCAGAGAATCTGTGTTCTTAACCATCACACGATGCTGGCTTCAAATCCTGTTTTTAACCATCACAGTTACTTAGAAGCCACTTGAGTTTAAGTGACATTAGAGAGGGACAGCTCAGCCTGAGCCAGACCAAAGAAACAGGCATGGTCGGAATGAATGTCTCCAGACACAGGTACACCTCTTTTGCTTTAGCAGCTCCATCCAAGCCTTCAAGCAGCTAGTTATGCATGAGCTGAGCAAGGAGATACCTCTCCCAGGAAGGAGAGAAGGGGGAGCCAGGGAGGGGCACCAGGGGGCAGAAGAGGTAGTTCATGGGCTCTTACTAGTCTCAAGTCCTAGCCTACACCTGCTTGAAGAGAGAGAGCACCCTATAGCACTGCTTTCCTTATAATGCACAGACCTGGCCAGCTGTGGTGGGGGAATCTGACCCCAACACATTTTCCTCAAACAAACAAAGGCTCTACTCTATCGGCCATCTGTGGGTGCCTTGGCCCCAAGTGTTGGCTATGACCGCTTTCTACCCTGGCCTGAGGTTAGCATGTGATTTCAATCTGGCCAATTAGATCCAATCAGAGCCAACTCTGGGATTTTTGCTCAAGCATCCCGGGGAAGCGTTCCTCTTTTCCACTGGGACTCTGTAAGCCTAGAGTTGTCGGCTGCCATGATCCTAACAGGGCCAAGAGATGGAGGAAGATCAAATCTAGTCATCACCCGAGCCTCCTTGATCTAATGATTCCTGTAGCCAGATCTCCAGTATATTTGGTTTTTTGTTGTTGTTTTGTTTTTGCTTAAGCCAGTTCAAATCAGATTTTTTATTACTTGCAACTACAAGCGTCCCATCTAACACCCCATTCTGACCTGCGTCGGCTGTGAAAGGCAAGCAGGGCTCATCTGTAAGAGTGTCCCCACAGGAATCTAAGTTTTTAGGTTGAATGCCAGCCTTCTATCCAGACTCTGCAGGTGAGGCTAGATTGGCCCCCCCTTCAAAGCTGATTCAGGGCCTTGCACAGGGAAGCTAAGAGTCAGAATTTAAATAGCCCTTGGTCCTAATGAGATCTGAGAGCCCAAATCCCTTAAAAGAAAGAATGCTTGTCTTTATTGCTCCTTTGAAAGGTGAACATTTAATATGCCTCGTTAACACTTTCCAAGATGTGATCTGAGGTGCTACATCCTTTGGTGCATTTTAATCTTTTATCACATACCTCATGCCTTGGCTGATACTTATTAATAAGCAGGAGGCTGATGAAGTGGTATATACCTGGGATCTCATTCGGGGGAAGGCAATCTGGGAGCAGAAGCCACTGGGGCTTGACTGAGCCACAGGCCACCTGGGGAATGCCCTTCCCATCTCTTGAGGACGTCAGGGATTGACTCTCAAGGGAAGAGAGCCCAAAAGGCTGGCTGGCTAAAATGCAAAATAAAGAGAGCCAACTGTAACTCCTGGGCAAGGCCCTGGTGGGGCCTGGTTCCCTAAAATACAAGCTGGCTGAGGTCAGCATCAAAGATGACAAGAGTTGTTCCCAGAGTGGCAAGGGAACATGCCCAGGTGTTCCCCAGCCAGCAAAGCAAGGGTTTCTAGAACAACAATCCTAGCCAGGACTCCAATTTAGCCCATGTGAGCTTTCTAAGGGAATTGGCTTTGCCTGGGGCCCACCCTGCCTGGTCCTGTGTGAATTTTGGTGGGCACACATTTGGGATGATCCAAAACAGGGCTATTAAAACAAAGTCTGACAACATCCAAGGTGAGTGAAGAAATGGGGCTCTCATACAGTTATTAAGTGGGGGGGAGGGGGCGGGCAGTAAATTAGTTTAACTTTTAGGGGGCCATCTGGCAGTATATATCAAGATTTAAAGGTGCAGACTCTTTTATGCATGTCTAGGAATTTTTTTTTCTTTTGTCTTGCAAGAAGTTAATTGATCAAGGGCACAAAGATGAATGTTCACTGCAGCATTACTTATATGGAAAGCCAGAAACAAGTGGAATAGCCACCAGCTGGGGATCAGAAAAATAAATTATTGTGCCCAAGGAAAGCTCTGCATCATGAAAAGGATACTGCAGCTCTGCAGTCACTGACCTGGTACAATATTGGTTTAAGCAAACACACTACTTAGATCAGTGGCTACATCTTCAAATCACTCGGAGAGCTTAAGAAACCTAAACCCAAGCAGACTTAGCCAGAACGAGGGGTCAGGCACTGGTAATTTTTTTAAGCTGCCCAAGTGTACAGCTAGGTTAAGAACCAGTCTATGGGATTGTGTGTGTGAGAGAGAGAGAGGGAGGGAAGGAGAGAGACTTTGTGCTCACTGAGAGATGTCTGGCAAGATGGAAGCAAATAGCAGTAGCTGCTTTTGGGCAATGGGATTTTGAGCAATTTTTGTTATTTTTACTTGCTGAAACTTCTAGTGATTATTCTAGTTTTTGTCACCAAAATGGAATGATAAAACTGGTTTTATTTTGGAAAAGAAAGAGGGGACAGAAAGACAACTTCCTTGGCTTTGGAATGTGTCAGTGTGAAATAGATGGGGGTGGGGGGCACCTCTAGGGCCCCACCCCACCCCCATCACCCAGTGTGCTAGCCCTGGTACTGCTGTTTCTGACCTAGGTCCCAGACACCTTTGATCTCTGGATCTTATGTGGATAGGAAGGATTGGCTGCATTTTCACAAGAAAAAAATGCACGTAGTGGAAAACCAACTTCCCCCCTCCCTGCTCTTAGACTGTGAGCTTAAACAAGTCAGCTGATACTCCTGGACCTCAGTTTCCTGCTCTATAAAATGGGACTGATAAACCCTGTCTCCTCAATGCACAAGTCATCCTAGTACATCATGAGCTCAGGGTCACTAAAGTGCTTTGAGGAGAGATGAGTAATTCTGTGGTAGACGAATCAAGCATTGGGGCTCTGGAACCAGCCTGCGTGGGCTCAAACCCTGGCTCTACCTCTTAGGCAAGACACATAGCCTTTCTGTGCCTCAGTTTACTATCTGCAAAATGGACTTCAATGGGTTATTGTAGGGATTAAACGAGATTAGCCACTAAAATGCTCAGAATGGTAACTGGCCCACGGTAAGCACCTACTAAGGGTTAGCCATCCCTACTTTTGAAGACCCTACTACTTGGGTCGCTCTAGCATCCCCATTTTTCACTCCAAGTAAAGCAGACCATCAGGTTCAATAACACTGATTCTTAGCCTTCTGGAGGTCACAGACGGCTTTGAGCATTTGACAAAGTGATAGATAGAAATTCCCCAATGAACGTACAAAAGTGCACATCCATTTCAGAAGTTCCCACTACTTTTGAGGTCCCGGGGAAGTCCATGGGTCTCATATAAAGAGTATCCTGTTCCAGAAGGACCCAGGGAAGAGGTGGTTCCACCAGACCCGAGGAACCAGCCAGGCTCCTGACCTCTGCTCATGATCTTCCCTGGAGGGCCCTCTGGGCTCCCAGTGATGATCCCCATCCTGACCCCCACCTTGTCCTGGCAACACGAGTGGACACTCATTCCCGCTAAATCCTTTGACAAACATGGGCTTGCTGGTCTGGGGCTTTCTAGTAAGATTGAAACAGCTCTGTTAAAAGACCACACCAGGGTTTCTAGCCCTATCCACGGGTGGGGCTATTGGTGTTCCCTCCTGTGGGTCTGGTGGGGAGCCGGAGGCGCAAAGGAAACTGGGCAGGTGGGGGGGCTCTGGGTGACCTTCGAGGATCTGATGGCTCGACGTGCTTCCCCCCGTCTGCAAGGGACAGACAGGATGCACTCAGGCATCAACCCCCCAAGGCTGACTCTGCAGTCATGACCCCCCGGTGAACACTGCCCAGCTGCCTGGGTGAGCAGCACTGAAAAGGGGAGCATGGCCATCTGGAAATGGGCCACCTCCTAGCTTTACGTCCTTGGCAAGTTACCGAACCTCTCAGAGTCTCCATTTATTCATCTCTAAGATGGGGATAACAACAGGACCGCCTCACCGGGTGCAGCAAGGGAGGTTAAGGACTCAGAATAGTACCTGGCACACAGTTAATGCTCAGGAAGCAGTGAGTACACCAGGCAATCAGTACCACCACCTCCTCCTCTACCGCTACTGTTAACGTATTATTATTATTATTACAGCTCCTAATCAATCCTCAGGCAACTGAGAAAAGGCAACTTTACTGAATCTCAAGTGCTGGGAACCTAGCCGACTCACTTGAAGTAATGACTCGGACAGATACTTGGGAAGCATCCGCCGCAGGGGCTCTGAGTGCCTGCACCACATCCTCCAGGCTCACCTCCGAATCCCGCTGCAGGGGTGATGGACAGTCCTGGGTACCCAGCCAGCCTCCACCTCTAGTGCCCACCAAACCTCTCAGAAGCCAGCGGTACTTACTTAGCCAGAGTAATGGGGAACGTGGCAATGGGAGTGGGAGACAGAGGACATACGTGACGGTGGGCAACGGAGGAGTTGGCGGCAAATGCTGCAGGCTCCCCTGATTTGGAAGGTCAAGTCTGAGGCTCGTTCTGCATGCATCCCTGTCAGGACCGAGCCCCAGCTGCCCACAGCGGGGAACAGCTCATTGATGTACTTGTCTGGTTGCTTCCGCCTTCCTGGTCTCATTACCCACCCCCCACCTCTCCCTTGCAGGGAACACCTCCCGGGTAAGTCAGCTGTACCCAAGTCTCAGGCTCTGCTTTCAGGGGAACCCAACCAAGACACACATCCAGCATGCCAGGTCATGGGGGAGACCCCGAGGATGTCACTTCTAGAGGTACATTCTCTCATTATTTCTGTTTTACAGATGGGAAAAACTCAGGCTCAGAGAGGTAAAGCAATTTGCTCAAAGCCACACGTCTGGGAAGAACAGAGGGCAGGACTTGAATCCAGGCCTCTGACTCCAGGGACCAATTCATATACTCCTGAATGAAGGTGGGGAGGAGATGCAAGCATTGCCCCCAGTAGCCCCTGCATCCATCTAGCACCTGCACTACAAACTCAAACACTTCCAGGTAGCCAGGGAATTAATGTTAGTATGTTCCAGCAGCTGGGTGAGGGAGCAATAGGGAGTGGTGGGGAGTGTGGTAAACACAAAATGGATCCCCATCTAAAGGAACGGCCACTTGGGCTGCTTCCATAATTTGGCTAAATAATGCTGCAGTAACCACAGGGGTGTCTATATCCCTTCGAATTAATGTTCATTTTCTTTGGGTAAATAGCCAGGAATGCAATCCAGTTACTGGATCATAGGGTAGTTCTATTTTTAACTTTTTAAAAAGATTTTATTTATTTATTTGAGAGAGAGCAGGGGAGGGGCAGAAGGGGAGGGAGACACAGACTCTCCACTGAGCAAGGAGCCCCACATAGGACTCGATCCCAGGACCCTGAGATCACAACCCCAGCCAAAGGCAGACACGCAACTGACTGAGCCACCCAGGTGCCCCTATTTTTAATTTTTTGAGGAACCTCCATACTGTCCTGCACAGTGGCAGCTCAAATGTCCATCAACAGATGAGTATCGGATAAAGAAGATGTAGTATATATATTATGGAATATTATTCAGCCATAAAAAAGAACGAAATCTTGCCATTTGCAACTCTCTGCAGAGTAGAATGCTAACAGAAATAAGCCAGTCGGAGAAAGACAAACACCGTATGATTTCACTCGTATGTGTAATTTAAGAAACAAAACAAACAAAGCAGGCGGGAGGAGAGAGACAAACGAAAAAACATTCTTAACTAGAGAGCAGATGGTTACCAGAGAGGAGGTTGGGGGTTGGGGGTAGGGGGGATGGGTGAAATAGGTGAAGGGGATCAACAGTCCACTAATCCTGATGAGCAATGAGTAATATATGGAGCAGTTGAATCACTACATTGTACCCCTGAAACTAATATAACACTGTATGTTAACTACACTGGAATGAAAATGACAACAAACAAACAAACAAAGGAGCAGCCCCAACTCCTGAGAGGTAGAACCTTCCAGCATACACTGGTTCAGATCAGCTCCAGACAGCGACTGCCAGGTGGGAATGTCAACCCAGCACTGCCAGAGCTGACTTTGCCAAAGGGGTGCGAAACCTGGATTTTGCTATTAAATTAGTTGGCAAAGGATGGGGGAAAATGCCGAATAAAAATCCATCTCTGGGCCACTTGAAGTACCAGGGGGGCCAATGTTTGCCGGCTCCCATCTGCCAGGACTGCCCCGGGGACCACCCAGCCCCACTAGAGAGGGAGAAGGGAGTCCTTTGGGGGCAAATGGGCCCAGAGCCTAACCCCGCAGGGTGGCGACCCCTTTTACCTGCATTGTGTTCGTCCATCGAGAAGGCCTTGTTCTCCATGTAGGTGCGTGGCAGTGGCACGTCCTCCTCAAACGCCGTCTCCCGCATCCTGGGCTGCGAGGTGTCGAAGTAGTTGGGCGTGTTCTCCTGCGGGGCTGGCAGAATGGTGCAGTGGATCTCCGGGATGGCGTGGAAGATGACGAAGACCCAGCCGCTGGCCACCAGGGTGATGGCCAAGGTGGGGTCGCCCCAGGCGTCTCCCTGCCGCAGCTCGGCGTTGCCAAAGAGGTACATGGTCATCCAGGCCACCCAGATGAGCACGGAGAGGAATGCCGTGACCAGGACGCAGGCCCCGTTCTGCTTCCACTTCTTGAACTTGCCGCACAGCGTGAAGAGCGCCAGCCCCAGGGCGGCCACGAGCAGTACCATGTCGTAGATGAGGGCCATTACGAAGTCCATGGGCTCGTAGGCGCAGGCTGGCTTGGCGTCGCGCAGCACGGTCAGCACCAGCCACTCGATGGCGATGATGACCTGCACAAGCATCAGGCACAGCGCCACGCCCACCAGCTGCCAGCCGGAGGGGCTCTTGCCGTGGCGCACCAGCCTCCGCACGCGCCACGCCTGGCTCAGCAGGCAGGAGAAGCAGAGCGCGAAGAGGACGCCCCAGAGGAACCGGCGGACCGCGCAGATAGTCTCGTCTTCCCGGATGATGAAGGCGAACGTCAGCCCGAAGAGGCCCAGGGTCCCCAGGAGGAAGAGGAAGTGGAGGCCCACGGGGTCCTTCTTCTCCTTGTCCTTGATAAATGGCAGCCGCACCAGCAGGATGAGCATCAGGAGCAGCGTGATCAGGGCGCCCGCCCCAGCCACCGCCTCCACCACGATGCCCCAGATGGTGTCCAGGTCGCAGAGGGACACGTACTGAGGGAGGAGATCCAGTCCACAGCCCCGGGACGTGCTGGCATTCTCAGAAGCCCCGGAGGCGATCATGAAGAGTAGGAGGAAGGCGAGCACGTGGTGGGTTTTCATCTTTCTCTCTGACGCCGGAAAGGTTCCAGAATATTGAGGACGGGGGAGATGTTTGGAGGGAGAAAAAGACCAGTTCACTGTAAGATTCCCACTTTCCTGACTTCTTTTAAGACCCACCTCATTTCGAACCTACTGGCCCATGAGGCACCTTTGACGGGTCAGAAAAAGGCAGCCCTTTCTCCAGAAGGCACAGCCCCTGGGCGGGGGTGGGGGAGTACAGGACCCTGATTCCGGCTCCCACCTGCAGCCTTGATCCTGCACAGTGAACACTCATGAATCATCATCGCTAGTGGCTGAAGAGGGTGAGAGAGATCCACCCTCTCTGTATACTCTTTTCTACTCTTTGATTTTTATATTCTGTGCTATGTCTGACCTCTTCAAAAATAAGGGAATGAAAACAAAACTTTGAAGAGACAGCCATGAGCCCAGCACTGTGCTGAGAATGGTACGCACTGCCTCTTTTCAGTCTCTCAATGGTAACGGCTTAATATTTACCCACGCCTCACTCTAAGCCAGGCACTGGGCACATCCAGTCCTTACACTGGTGACAAAACAAGGTCTCCAGGAGGTTAGGACACTTGCCCAAGGTCATACCACCCGGTTCCTAGAAGCGTGCCCTCATTTCCAAACAGTGTATCCAAAATGAACTAGCATCCTGGGTTTCCCCTTTCCCTCGCCCCTCAGACCTCCCCCAAAGGTCTCCAGAGAACCCATCCTCACTGCACCCCTGTCTGTCTCTCCCCCGTCTCCCTCCCTGCAGGATTCCCCTCAGTGCTCCTTCGGGCCCCCATGAAAGCTGGGCTCCACACAGCAACCATGGCAGACGGGCTTAACCCAAGTCCCATATTGCCCCCCTGCTCCCTCTGCTTAAACGCCCCCAACCCATTGCTGTAAAACTGCTCCTCACCCCCACCTCCTGTCACCCTCTCAGACCTTGGCCAAGGTCACAGCCCCATTCCTCTTCACCAGAGCCTCTTATTCTACTTCTTTCTTTGCTCTAATTGTCTGTCTTTTTTTTTTTCCTTGCCTGTTTACTTTGTTTCTCGCATTCCCTTCTTGCTCTTTTCCCTGTCTTTCTCCGCTGCAAGATGCAGGAGGACAGGGACACTGTCTGGTTCATCGGGGTAGACCAGGGCTTCTCACCTTGGTATCGTTGACATTGCGGGTCTGACTCTTCTTGGCTGTCCTGTGCACAGTAGGCTACTCAGCAGTACCCATGGCCTCTATCCCCTAGATGCCCAGAGCACACCCACTCCCCCCAACCCAAAAATCTTTCGACACTGCCGAATGTCCCCTGTGGGGGTGGGGACGCAAAAAATCGCCAAGATGACACCACTCGCGTGGACTCAAGCACCAGCACACCGTGCTCGCACAAAGGTGATGCTTGGTGGATGTCGAATGAGTGAGAGGCTCGTTCACCGGGACTCTTTCCTCTGCCCCTACTGCCACCAGCTCTTAACTTTTGAACGGAGCCTGCCCTTCAGAAAGCTCCAGCCTACACAGCTCGGCTCTCAGGCCTGTTTCCAGGCGCCTCAAGCTGGCCCTGCTGCCTTGGCTCCACCCGTGTGTGAGGCCGCAGCCAGCCACATCCAGGCAGCTCCCGTGTCTCCCTGGGGCTTCCCTAAGTAAATGCAGTATCGACCACCTCTCTCTCTCCCTCTCTGCTCCTTTATGGGGTTCCGGGAGCAGCTCTGATCCTGCCTTGGCTGTGAAGCCATTGACTGGGATAAATTATTGATGCCGCCAAATGAGAAGGAGCCTGGTGCTGCAAGGGATGTCACCTCTGCCTCTCGATGAGAGAAAGGCAGGGTCAGAGCAGAAGGCATCTGGCAAGAGGTGCTTCTTAAACATGCACCTCAGCATTCCACTCAAGCAAATTCGGGGTGAGGATGCAGCCCAGATGTTGGCCCTCAAGACTCATGGTTCAGCCACGATTCATCCAGCCAATAAACTTCCCTTTTTTGGATTAGGCCAGTCTGAGCTGGGTTTGTGTTACTTGCCAACAAAGAAGTTCTAGGACTCCTCCCACATCATGTGGCCCCCCTTCTTCCAGGAAGTCCTCCCTACCCAATGTCTAGGCATGTGGATACAACCAAGGGTGGCCAGGAGCTTTAGTGGGATCCCGTTGTCTCTAGTGGATCATCATCATTGTTAAGGATGCCCAGGAGGTGACAGCCACCCCACTCTACAGAACAATGCCTAGGATGATCATGAGGGCTGATCACTGCCTCACAGGATGAAGCTGAGTCTGGCTCATCTAGGATTGCTGGGGGGTTCAGAATTGCCCTCCAGAGTTTTCTACGACTGCCAGAGGAACCATGACAACAACTAACCCGTAGTGCTCACCACGCTGCAGGCACACTTTTATGTACTTCACATATACTAACTCCTTATAATCTGCACAATGACACCATGAGGCCATTACTACTACCATCTCTGTTTTAAAGGAAATAAAACATGGAGGTCAGCTGGCTTGTTGGAGGTCACACAGCTAGAAAGTGGTAGAACCAGGCGGCAAACAACTGTACTCTTGTTACTTGGGCTCTTACTACAGACCTGGGCTCTAGAAATGTCACCTGGTAAGTGAGCCCTTTGCTGGCCAGTCTCTCCTGTCCCCCATTATGCTCTACACCAGTCCTTCTGATTTTTGTCTTTGTAGCATGTGCCACAATTTCCAAATATTTTATTACCCTCTGGGTGTGCTCCCCCCTCTCCCAGGTCCAGGGCTTTGTCTGTCTGGTTCTTCACTGACTCACTAGCACCTGCCAGTCGCGCAGGGCTCACAGCCCAGCTGCCGAACCAGATGAATTGGTAAAAGTGGTCTCGACCCTCATGTTACCCCAGCAGGACAGGTGTGCTCATTGCTGTCTTACAGAGGAAAGAACAGACGACCGGAAAGGTTCGAGTCAAAGTTTGATCCTCAGACGGCAGCAGTGTGACCCGGGAGCTCTCTGGAAATGCAGACTCTCGGGGGGGGGGGGGGGGCTAGCCCCCTCCGTTTCAACAAGCCCGGCAAGCAAGCCCCAAGTGCGCGCAGATGCTTGGCCACACCGAGGTGTGAGAAGCTCGGACCTGTGCAGCCGGGGAAGCCAGGAGCCACGGCCCCCCGGACGTTCTGCCTCACCAACCCTGCCAGAGCCAAGCAGGTGGCACCCACTTGGCAGGTAAGCCCCATCCTGCCGCATCAGCCACTTGGTGCTTCCTCCCACCAAAAGAGCAGTTCTCCAGGAATCCCAAACTGAACAAGGCAAGATTAGAGGTTTCAAGTCAGCCGCAGGCAAGGCTGATCGGGACGGGATGAATATATGGCAACAAACCCATGGGATGTAGGCGTGCGGCTCCTCAAAAGGAGGAACGAACAAATGTGAACGAATGCACAAGCCTCAGCTCACATACTAATTACCTCTGCTGCCAGGCAGCCTCCCAGAAATGTGACTCATTCAGAGGCTCTTAAATACACGATCTTTCTCTCTCTCTCTCTCACACACACACACACACTCTCTCTCTCTCTCTGTCCACCCCACCCCCGACCCGCAGAGGGGCCAGAAGCCTCCGGCAGGTGGTGGAACACCACACTCCATTTCTCCACGAGCTGGGGCCTATAGAGGCTGGAAAGAATGCAGGCAAGGTTCCTTGTGTGAGGACAGTGCTGCCTGCCTGAAGGCCACAGGCCGGGCTAGCAGCAGGGCGAACTTCCGACAGAGATCTTCCGGTTTCAAGTTCTGCCCCTGCCACCTGCTAGTACCTTGTGACCCTGGACAAACTGATTTTACCCTTCTGGCCTCAGTGTCCTCCTCTGCAAAACTAGGGGTGTTAACGGTACCCATCCTGTGGGGTTGACACAGGTAAGCACTTACATAAACTGTCTGCTCAATAAATAGAAATGATTGGCAAATACTCCCTCGTCAGAGGTTATGAACTTTGCTGACTGCTTTTCCGGGGGAGCAGTTGCCGTGGAGATGGGGTGGGAAAGGGGCTCCCCCCACCCCGGTGTTTGTCCATCACTGGTTTCCAGCCTCCTCCATCACACCAGGCAAAGCGGTCCCTGAGGTGGTATGAATGGGAGATGCCTTTGGTGGTGGTCTGCCCTGGGAACCTCTAAACTCACCTGATCCCCAAAGCAGGTGCTCTAAGCAGAAGCCTCACTGTGAAGGTGGTTTGCCCATGGGAAACCCAGGCCAGCCTGGGAGCCCTGAAACCGGGTCTCTCTGTCAAGAAGTCAGAGGGAGGACACCCAGAGACCAGACACTGGCCATTCTCTTGGGAAATAAGCGTCCCCATCCACCCACTTCCCATATGAAGAGGTACAAGATATGGGGGAGATGCTAGAACATGGAAGGGAAAGAAAAAAAATGAGCAGGCGGGGAGGGGATTTTCCTACTCCTGGGCATAGTCAGTAGATCGGTACCTGGGTGAATGCCTGGCACAGAATTTATACTTTCATCAGTCTCCTCTAGAGTGGAGGCCCTCAGTGGGAGTGAAGCCAGACAGACCTAACGATGTGACATGGGGCATTACTTAACCTCTCTGACCCTCGGTCTCTTCCTCTATAAAAGATAAAGATAGTGCTGCCTTCACAAAGCTGGTGTGAAAAGTACATGAAAAATACTGTGCAAGGTGCTTGGCCCACAGGGAATACAGGATCCCTGCTTATTAAAAAGACAATCATGATTCCATCGTCCTTCCTGTTGGGAAAATGAGAGGTGAGGCAACTTGGCCAGAGGCTTAGTGGAATTCGCAGGCCAAGCTGGACTAGAACTCATTTCTCCCAACTCCTGACCTGAGGCCTTTACACTGCACCTCTGGTTTGAGCCCTCATCCCATGCCTGGCAGGCGGCCAGGATTAGGCTGTGGAGGCAGTCTCCCCTCCCCACGCACCCCAGCATTACACTCTGTCCCAGCCCACTCCGTTATAGCCCATGGTGCATTTCCTGCTCTGGGAGATTAAACTGTTACAAGGTTTCCTGACATTAAGCTCTTTCCCAGACCCACAATCTCACCCTCTGATATCTTTTCCAAGTTACACCATCTCATAATCTTCATTTCCTAATGTTGCCCAGACCACCAGCCTATTTGCGGGCTCTTGAATTTAATAACCCTCCTAGGTTAGTAAACAGGGTTGCCAGAACACAAGCCTCATGATCCATGAATATGCAAAGTAGCTCCAATCCTGTAAATAAAAGCAATCATTTAAATGCAAATTGCATCCTTGGCTGTCCGTTCAGGGATGGATGGTTCCTCTTGGGCAGTAATTCGGAGAAGAAAATGTGACTAACACAGAACCCCCAGGAAGCTCTGCGTGAGTGCTTATGGGGCCAAGGGCTCTGGGTGGGGGCCACTTAAGGTGGACAAGAACTGCCTCAAAGTGGAGAGTGAATTTTAAAACCCTAGCCGCTCCCCAAGTGGGTTCACAGGACAGGACAGGCTCAAGACGGTCCCCACCGGCCAGACGGAGCCCCTCAGAGGCTCCCGGCGCCTCGCCATCCCCAGAGGCAGAATGAAAGGGGAGCTGCTTTCCATCTCCGTGTTGAGGTCAGGGGAGCTTTTAAAAAATCAGATCCCTTGGCTTCCTAATCAAAACCCTCCAAGGGTTCACTGGCCCATGGAGAATAAAACCTAAACTCCTTTCCATGGCCCAAAAGATTGTGCTCTGGCTGGTCCCTACCATCCTCTCTCCCACCCACCCCCTCCACATCTGCCTCCGAGCTCCAGCCACAATGGCCTTTGTTCAGTGCTAAACTCATTCCCACCTCCAAGCCTTTGCATTTACAGTGCTCTCTGCCTGCACAGTGGTCCCCCAAGATCTCCCAGAGGTGGGCCCTCCATCTTGCCAGGCTCGACAAAAATGTCACTCCTGAGAACCGTCTTCCCCACATACACAAACCCTCATCACTTTATTTAACATCTTCCTGTTTTATTTTCCTGGCAGCCCTTACCCCAATTAGAAGTTCCATTTACTTACTTATTTAGCTATTTATTTGTTCACCCACCTGGCCAGTGCCCTGAGAGCCGGGGCTTGTCCATTCTCTACACTGTAGTGCCCCAGCCCCAGATCTCTAGCTGGTACATTTACTGAAAGAACAAATTAAGCAATAAGGGTTTGAAGCTTCTCTTTCTAACAACACTGCTTGTCCTGCTGCCTGCCCCAAATGGCGACTCCTTTTCCTTTCCATTTGTCTCCTTCTCAACTCAGCTGACCCCTTTTCAGACTTAGAGCAGGGAACAGATAGAAAACCCTTCACTCCAGTCTACAAACAAAACTGGCCTCGTGGAGGGCTCCCAACCAACAGATGATGATTTGCATTCTATTTACATGCTATTTGCATGCAGCTTCACGGGAAGTCCCAATCCACCGAAACCCCCCACCCCACCGAGGAAACTTCTGAATCAAGGGTCCTTGGCTGAAGTTCCGTGGCTTTTGTGCCAGGTCCTTCCCTCACTTTTCCCCTCACTTCTCTTGTCTTTTCGAGGACCCCCAGTTCCTCCTGGGCGCTGTTCAAGTGCCCCCCATCCTGGCGCAGTTGGGTAGCCAATGTGGCGCGTGGGCCGGGGCCCCAGACAGGACGCCGCTGCCCGCCACACTCCAGGGGCCTTTGTCCGCGCTCCAAGGAGCCGCCCCCTTAGCGAACGGGGGACGAGTTGGGAGGGGGTTGACTGGCTAGGCCTGGGTGTGACAGAGCGAGAGGCAGGGAACGAACTCGCGAGCTGTGCTGGGGCCGTCCTCTGTGGCAAGGTCGGCGCCCCGCTGCCCGGATGGCTAACTAGCTCCCCCGGGCCTAGGCCCCGTGCGGGCGGGAGGGATCCCGGGATGTGCGGGGCTGGGAGCCCGTGTCCTCCAAGGACAGCGAACGCACCACAGCACACGGCTAGTCCTCAGCCCCAGCCTGGTCGGAATAGAAACGCCAACCCCCCGCCATTGTATGCAGCCGTCTCTCGTTTGTCCCTCAGCCCCAGGTCTCAGCTCTGCCTCTTTTCCTCCCGCAGTGTTCCCCCCTTGTCCCGTAGTGCGCAGGCACCGCCGGTTGCGAGCCTGGCCCCCGGTCCCTGCGGCAGGTGCGGCCGCTCACCCCCAAAGCCTGGTCCTTATAACCGCAGCTCCGTCTACCCTGCGGTCAGCCCCCACGGGCTGAGCACGCGGCCCCGGGACCTGCCCGCGGCTCCCCTCCCACGACGAGTCACTCGGGTACGGCTGGACTCCCGCACACTACTCCCAGCTGTCCTTTACATGCGATCAGAGACTTGGATCTCCACCTGGTCCGGGTACACAGCACTCTCTCCTCCTCCACCCCCCACCCCCGGCATAAAGGTCTCCAGACCTCCCCTCCCCCCGCCCCGCCCTCTGCAGCTCCTCTCCGGCCTCACTGTGGTTCGCCCCCTCCCCGATTCCCCATCTTCCTCAGCAGACTAACCCCCCCGGGGGGCTTAGAGGGGCACAAGAAGCAGACTCCCCAGTTCTCCGAAGTCCACGGCGGGAAAAGTTTCTGGGGTCCTAGCAGCGCCCTCCACCCCATCGGCGCGCCTCGCACTCACCGACCCCCGCGGCCTCGCAGCGCCGACGCTCCTGCTGGTTCTCGGCCTCAAGTCACATCTCTGCAGCGCGGCCGCGGCCCCCGCCCCGCGCGC